TTAGATTAAAGTAAATAGTATCAATTAATCCATGCTGGAAGTAGTCGGATACTGTGATGGGTGTTGCTCCTACGAGGAAGACTACTTTTGGGAGGTCTTGACCACAGTTCTTGGGGTAGAAACTCATGGTTGTTTGCAATTCTCCATAATTAATAATAGAATCCCAATAGCGTTTGAATTTTGGTTCGGAAACCTTCTTCATTTCCACCCTCTCAGAAAAGGTTGGAATGTCAGTGACTTTGATTGGAGTTCTTGGGGGTACTCGTTCAAGTAACGTCTTTCGGTTTATGGTTTTGGCCGGTAGAGAGTCTGTGGCTACAGTTTTGAATCCTTCCTGCTTAAATGCATCTTGGGCTTCTTTCAGACTATTGTAACTCTTGTGAATTACATTTTTTCCATTGATGTGTTGGGCTGCAATGGACCAGTCTGAATAGACTCCTTTGAAGGATCCAGTGAAGATGACATAGTACTTCTTTTTCCTAGAGACTTCTTCTTAGGCTTCTTTTTGCTTCTGAGCTTGGGCTTCTTCTTCTTTTTCGACTTCTTTGGCCCAAGTAAGCTTCTTGGGTTCTAAAGGGGTTTCTTTTGGCTCTGCACATTCTTCCTTGAATTCTTCTAGGATGCTGACATGGCAGTTTTCAGCGAGAATTCTCGTAGTGGTGAAGAGCTCCTTTTCTTCGGCTTTGATTTTTCGCAATGTCTCCAGAATCTACTTCTTTTGATTCTATTTCTGCTTTAGAGTGCTCTGCATTTGTTTGATTACGGCTTCCATTCTCAAGTTAATGTATCAGCAAAACAATTGTTTTCGGATTTGATGTAGGATATATATGGCTGGAATTGATGGAGTTTGAGTTGCCACCGAATGAGTCTTCCTTTGCCATAGTCTTCCTGTGATTTGTATCTCCAGAATCCTGTAACATATTTAGAATCAGTTCGGAGTTTGAATCTTGTTTGAAAAAGATCCAACTTCCATTTTTCGAGTACACATAGACAGGCTAATGTTTCGAGTTCCTGAATCGTGTAGTTTTGTTCAGTTTTCGAGAATGTTCCTGAGGTATATCAACATAGTCAAATACTATGTTTATACTCTCAAGAAATCTCTCTGTTGGATGATGATAACATCCGGCAACTGTTCAAGACTTCAGTGCAGGCTTCTGTGCTAGCATTATCCAATGGATTATGCTTGACTTCTGTGCATTTTTCAGAAATTGGATTTCCATACTTGTCTAGCCCAAGTGTGTGTTTTCCATCAGGTAATGCCAACATACAGCTTGCCCATACTTCTTTCGAAGCATCGGTTTCGACTAGTATGTAGTCATTCTCTGTTGGGTTGTGCAGATTAGGTAGATTCTGTACTGATTCTTGAATTTTCTGAACCAGTTCAGTATCTTCCTGTGTCCATTTCCAAGGGATTTTATCAGAAAGTTTCTTTTGAAGATTTCATCTTTCTTTGGCTAGATTTTTTATAAATCCCCAGTCTGCTATATAATTCAAACAACCTAAAAACCTTTAAAGTTGTTTCCTGTCTGAGATTTCAGAGGGAAAACTTTGAAGTTTTTCAGATATGTGACTAGCAAGATCAAGTTGACCATCTTTAGATATTTTAAGTCCAAGATATTCAACTTCTTCTTGACAGATTTTGCATTTGGGTTTTGAAATGATGAGTCCTTTTTTCCTGCATCGTGTTAGTACAGATAAGAGTTTATCATAATGGTCTTCCTGTGAGTCTTTAGTAAAAAACAAGAATATCGTCAATGTATGCAAGGCAAAAAGATTCTAAACCCATAAGATTATTATCCATGAATCTCTGAAAGATTGAGGGTGCCTATTTGAGTCTAAATGGAAGAACATTCCATTCATAATGCTTCTGAGGTGGACAGGAGAATGTGGTTAGTGGCTAAGTTTCTTTTAAGAGTCTAAACTGCCAGTATCTAGATTTGGCGTCTAGAGTTAAGAACCATCTACATCCCTTGATTTTCTCAAGTATGTAGTCCTTTCTCAGGAGTTTATAAGAGTCTCCAATCATAGCAAGGTTCATCTCTTTATAGTTTATGACCATTCTACATTTTCCTCTTTTGACTTCATTGTGATTTTTAACATAAAATGCGGGTGCAGAATGTGGACTGTGACTTGGCCTAATAATTCCTTTTTCAAGCAAGTCTTGGCATTCTTTGGTGAATTCTTCCACATCTCTAACAGAATAGGGGATTCTATTTAGGACATTGACTTCCTTTTTTAGGTCTTTTAACCTAATGGTGACTTCCATTCCATTAGTTGAATCTAAAGGGTTATCACTACAGATTCCTTCTGGAGTGGCTTCTATGTTGATGTTGAATAGAACGAATCCTAAGGCATCCTTCATATCCTTATAGATCATTCAAAGGACTTCTTTTAATCCTATGATTCGGGTGGTGACCTTCTTTCCTACAATGCATTCTAAATCCTCTGATTTATATCCTGAATCATCTGAAGATATTATACCTGTTGTATACCATGAATCTGCATCATCATTCTTTACTGATATCCTTGTAGACCGATCCAAGATCCGGAACTCCAACTTTAGTCTGTCTGAAACCTATAATTTCAGCATCCCAGCCATGAAGAAGCTCTATGGTATCCTTAACCATAATAATATCATCTTTTATGGTATTATGTATGGTGAAGAACCCATTCCTATTAAACAAACCAAAGGTAACATACCCATTATTAATGTCCAAATCATCTCAGAAAGACTCCAGAAAATAGAAAAAAACCAAAGCCTCAAAGATAGCCTGGATTCATGCCTCAACCATGCAAATCATTCTTAAAAGCACTTCACCGAAGGAATAGACACCCCTATAGAACTCGAACTCAGAGATGATAGGATCCGAAACCTTTTCGAAAGCATCATAGCCAAAGGATCTGGAAACCTTTCTGAAGGAAAGATCAAGTTTGATCTTAACATTCAGAATGGAATCTGTCTCCAAGACTGAGACCATTCCCAAAGCATAACCCTCTAGTACAAACTCTGTAGAACCAACCTGATGAACCCTGGTAATCATCCATTTTCAGTCACCTACAAAATCAACTACGCCCTTACCAATAGTCACCATAGCATAACTTTCAAAAATGACAACAAGATCTGTATAGACAAACTCTTCAAACCCTTGATTCACCTGAATGAACCCAAAAGGAAAACCCTTATGCGACAACCGATATATAGTCGAATCATCCAAGATGATAGAAGAACCCTCTCATTTAGAGAACCTCTTAAGATTGAACTACCAAACTCTAGCATATCTACCCGAGGACAAACCCTTGAGTCTTCTTCTTCCAAAAAGGAAAGGATCTCAAAAATAGCAAAAAACATAGACAAATTCAAATTCACCCTGAAACTCATTAGATGAGCCTAGCTTATAAAATAATACTTTTGTATTATTTAGAAGTATACACCTAGCCCAAATCTGTGAAGACAATAACCTAGACAACATTTACCAGCTCTCTTTAAACTATCATTTGAATTGCAATTGGAAGGATCCAGTCCAAGCCTACATAGAAAACCAAAAACGACCCAAAAGCCAAGATCCAAACGATCAAAGCATTCTAGTCAAGTGGGACACACCAACCACCAGTAGTAGCCAAGAGCCTAGACTGCCAACATATCCAAGAACTTTTACCCTTTTAGAAAACGTAAAACCCATAAAAAACAAGCCTAAGCCAAAGAAGAAAAGCATCAACCAAAAACTCAACTACTAAACCTTTAGGTTGAAAGCAACATCCTTTTCTTATGAATAAAATCCCTCTCGAAAGAGAAAAAGCCTTGAAAGAATTCGCCAGGAAATGCGAAATCTACTACCTAGCCAAACAAAATTCTAAGCCAGCCAATATAACCCGAGCCATAGGAAACCATGAAATCACAGGAAAATACCATCATGATTGGAAGACAATTCGGATAATCTAAGACAAAGCCAAAGAAATCCTAAATAGGTTAGACTGTTAGCCTCAAACTTCCGCACACCGTTTTCTCTGTCTTAGGTTCAAAAATATTTACATATAGGTTCAATACAACGTTATATGTTCAATAAACATATAGTTTTCTCAAGGTTGGGATGGCTAATTTTTTTAAAAATATATTTATAAATTATATTGAGAATTTATATCAATTAATATTCTTAAAATATTTTATAAATTTATAATTGTTAAATAATAAAATTTGTATGATTATGCATTATTTGTAAGAAATTAAAAATGATACAAACCGAAACTATATGTCATGTAATTTTTAAGGAAAAAAATCTGATACATTATTAATTTTGATAAAGAATTACTGAAGGTTTATATTTTTGATACGTTTCATATATTATCACATTTTGAATATTTGGATAGATATAGTAATGTGTAAATTTGAAAAAGATTAAATATTTGACATGTTTAAACTAATCCTATAAATTAAAATCATAAAAAGTTAAGAAAAACTAATCTATAACATTTTATAATATTATAAAATTATAATATTTTAACTAAAAAGTATAATATGTATAATATAAATAATTATTCTCTTTTACCACGAAGATAATTGTTAAAAAATAAAATGAGGGGTGTATGTGGGGCTGAAGTGGGGGAGGCGGGCAACATGCTTGAAATGAGGGGCTGAAGTGGGGAGACGGCCACCTTGGGCTGACGTGGTTCTGCCTCTCGACATTCTAATGCTTCACGTAATCATTTTTTATTAATCTTGTTGATTATATTAAAAAATAAATAGCTGAATTTGTAGTCTCAAATACCAACTATTCATGCTATATAAAACTATTAAAAAGAAAAAAAAAAGGATAAACAGTAAAGTAACATGATACATACCGTAATGCCCAATGTTGGGATTATTAAAAGACAATGCTAACTTCCACTTAATTGTCGAGCATGTGCACCATATAAGTATTTTCTGTGGCCCACAAGAAAATGAAGAAAGTTACCACCTTGAGTTGTGAAGGCAAATAGTGTAGTCTATCGCAGCCGTTCTGGAAGAATAATTGTAGAAGTAACTCAAGTCAAAAACACAGCCATTAATCAATTATAAATGTGGACAGCTGGGGCAAAGTATAAATGTGTGCCTTAAAAGGGGCATGCTCTTCTTCAGAAGCCAAGGTTTCCTTTGTCTGCAAATTGGGAAATATTTCCAGTAGTGCAGCCATATTTTTCTCAGCACATTTATATCTTTCCGGATCCTCTAACCAATATTGCCAGCAGAATACAGTGGGCATTGGAATGCAGGATGCCTCTAATTTGGCTTCTCAATGATCGTGGCCTATTTCACAGGCTTGGTCAGCCCTCACTAGCTCATTGTGCAGTTTTGTGTCTCTTAACATTTGATGCAAAAAATCCTGATCTTTTTGAAATAATTCACTGATCTTCAACTGTTTCCTGCACATTTTGATGAGTCGCCAAATGTTATGGTCTACGTAGAATAGCAAGAATTTCTAGGTGATGGGAATCAGAATAAATGGAAAATCACATATTGAAGTGATGGAGAATCTTGGATCTGTTTAGGGGGAAACCCAATTAATAGTGCATTTACGATTACTACCTACCATATATTAGCATTTTCTAAGGAAACATGAAATAAATCTCCTCCAGCAAGCAGAATATCTATATCATTCACAATATTGACAACGATTTACGTGTACAGAACAGGCAATATATATTCTCTAATTGGCTGTGTGGTCAGCTATTATCACAAATATTATATACATGCCTGTATTAGGGAAAGACAGATACCATACCTGTGTTCTTAGAGAAACCCATGTCCCTAAGCATCAATCCAACCTGGAGATGGAAGAACACATCAACCATAATTTTGAACAGCACAATTGAAAGGAAAATTTATTAAAATTTGCTGTCATGACAACAACAGGAGGGACATGAAAGTAATGAAATAAGAAAAGTGACTTCCAGAAAGCTTTGAAACTCCTAACAAGACTAAAAATCTTCCAAGATGAAGAAGAGAAGGGTTCCCTTCATTCTTCCAATATATTTACATGGACCAAGTGACCAAATTTACAAACACACGCGTGACACATGCTTACATGATGTGCTTTTGCCAATAACTTGATGCATCTGTATGGTGGTTAGAAAAAAAGTTCATTTACTTTAAACCAAACAGGTTTTTTTTTGTTAAAATGGTCTTTTACAAAACCTTTAAACATCAAATATAACATGCGACGATGCAAAGATATCTTTTAATAATTCTTCTACTTTCTGGTGTAAAATTACCTACTTTTCCAAAGCTTAACCAGTTGGCAAAGAAATGTTACTAATTTTTTCCAAAGCTTAACATGTTTTCATATTTTTCATGGTTGGGGCCAGCACAATGACTTCTTTTCAAGTGTCAACAAAAATGAGATGAGATATGAATTTATTCTCCTACCTCTAAAAACATGGCCACTTAGATCGTTTGACAGTTACACATCATGCTATTATATACTCCCTCCATTCAAAAATGTAAAACATTTTTAACCGAATCTCAACCCCAAAAAGTAGTTATCTATTTTAAACTAACCTTATCTTTTCATATTTATCCCTATTAAACACTTTACAATAAATATAAAGTTATTCATCAATAAGGGCACTTAAAAAAAAAAGGGTAATAATTACACCTCGAAAAATTAAAAATACCTTACATTTTTTAACATCCAACTCCTCAAAAAATGGCTTACATTTTTTAATGGAGGGAGCATTACAATTAGAAATTCTTACACAGTGATCATAAACTCACCTTTCTTCAACCTTGGGAGTACTGCGTCTTTGTAGTACCCTATAGAAGACCATGCTTTTATCCTGAATTTGTGAATGCTTGAGAGGTTGCTGCCAAATCTTTCTATCAGCTACTCAGGAATCTTATTGACCACTCGAACATCATTTTTCAAGATATTGACAAAGTATTCTTCCTCATAAATATCCCTAATTTGCTCTACACACAAAACACAATAAACTTTTATTGCTTGGGGAAAACTTTGGTAATTATTAGCATTAATATCAAGGAATCATTATTTAAATACTATCTGCTATTAATTAAGCAAATGCATAGATGATAATGATATCACTGATATCAGGTTCTCTCAGCCAGAAGAAAAAAGAGCAAAAAAGAAGGTTCAAGTAATATGGATGATTAAGATTTTGCAAGGGGGTCTCTTTCAAGAGATTTTCAACAAAAAGATGGTATATTCAGTTTTAAATCTTTTCAAAAGTAACATCAACAAAATGCAGGCCTTTGTTAAATATTAGAGGAAAGGGAGAGACAGAAAATGGTGTTTTTATTTCTTTAATTGCAAATGAATTAAAATTATATTATACTACACCTTCTGAAGATTTGTTAACACGCTGTTTCCGCTCACCACATTTGTCGGAATTCTTTCATATTGTTGATATCTGAAATGAATTAAACTACTAATGTCAGTAAACATGACAAATATGTTAGAAAAGCAAATCGGTACACAAAATTATATAGAATATTAACAATAGTAACAAAGATGAATTCAACTAAGCATATGTTTTTGTTAGTAGACATTTCATTTACAACCATTATTCTTCGATTGAGAATGCTCAAGGGTGCAACAAATCAATAGTGGAATGGTGGCAGAAGAAGATAAGGCTTGAAAGGGGAGAGAAAATCAAAATATCTAAGTGGAGTCACGCCACAAGCCCACAACGTACAGTCGAGATACTCAAAAAGTTGCTTCCAGAAGAATATATACTTTGTCGTGTTACCATCTTTGTCAAAATAATTCCAAATCTTTTGATTGCAATACTCAACAATAAAATTGGGCCAACCTTCTTCCAAAATCAACAACTGAGTAACAGAGAGCAAATGCAGGGAAGAGGAAAATAGAAACTATTACAGATTTGGTTATATTATAATTATATAACATTAGAAATAAACTTCCTTTAATGTCAGAAAAATTAAATCTATATGTAATCACTATATACTCAAGGAGAAGTCAAATATAAACAAAAGGAACTGTACCTATGAACGTTGCAAAGCTAATTGCAACAACAAATATGAATCAATAGATTATGCTGATTCTTCTACTATAGCAGCCTTAATTTACATCAATAAATATGAATCAGTTGCAGATATTCTCTATAGCCGATGGAAAAGGAAAAAGAACTCATGTCTTCAAAGTGCTTTATATTATTTCCCAAACTTTCAGATATTAAATAAACTAGTTTCAGTTACAATAAAATATTTCAAGTTTCAAGACTATTTACATTATATATATATATATATATATATATCAAGAAGTAAAAAGCAGTGAAGAAATGAACGAAAGGCAAACAAAATGGCTCTCTTTCTTTTTTTCTTTTTTTTCCTTATGATTGCACAACACAGATATGAAAACATGGGACATCCTTCTTCCAAAACAACCGCCGAGAAACAGAGAGCGAACGCAGGGAAAGGGGGAAATAGAAAATAGCAGAGAAAGAGCAGGCAAACGGAGAAGAAGAAACAGCACCATATAACCAGCAACGACAAGAGTAAATGGGGGGAAAAAAGCACCTTGAGCAAGCAGACAGAACGTAGAGAGGCAGAACCTGGAGTGAGAACCGGTGGCGGCGGCGACTGGGGGTGGAGGCGAAGACAATTGCTGGGGCTGGTGCTGGCAGGAGTGAGCAATGAAGCGAGGCAACGATTGGAACGGACGGCTCAACGGGATATCAAATTAGGGCGTCATTATTAGAAATAGTATCAATATCCAGAAGATTCAACCAGATATCCTTGAAAAGCACATGAAGAAATAAAAATAAAATTACAGAATTCAAAATTAAGCAAAAGCAGAAAAGTGAACAATTTGGCTTAAAAGGACAGAGTAAGTCAAGTGATATGGGTAGAAAATTACAAAAGAAATAAACGTAACTTCATTCTAGAAGCATTTAAGCAAAGACCTATTAGATGTGGTTCTGGTTTCATTAAAAAACGCATAGGTCTCTCTGGTATAAAAAAAAAATGCAAGCAATAGCTCCATTCCCTATTTAAAACAGAATCCCAAATCAAAAAGAACACGGAAATCTGGAACGTTTGAAAGAAAAAAATGGAAAGCATCAATAGAAGTGATGGAATTCCAATGGAAGAAAGACACAGAAGAATTGAAGACGACGAGAGGCCTGGAGAGAGTCAGCGATGACGAAAAAAATCCTGCTTGATCCATTTTGATCCAGTTGATGGCTCTTTCGTCCAGAGAACTTTGGTGAACATCATCGAACTGGTTTTTCTAGCTCGAAGAAGGCGAGATCACGAGAGAATCGAGCTGCTGGAAGAGAGTGAGTGAACCGAACTGTATTGAAGAAGAAAAGAAGAAGAGCGGGTATCGATGCTCTGAAAAAATGAGGAGCGTATTTTGTAACGGCTCTGTGCTCGGTGCTCTGAGGCTGAGACGCGAGGAGCGTAACGGCTAGAAGAGGGCATGCCCGATCACTCCTTAGAGCACTGTTACCGGACCGCCTTCGATCGTTTAAATCAAAAACCGACCAGTTCAGTTACACCTTTAGCTGCTTTTCCTGGAAACTGCTCATGTGCTGCTCAGCATCCAAATTCAAAACCGGTAAAACCGGCGAAAAACTTAATGAACCGGCATGTTATTTTTTAATTTTTTTATTTTTAATTTATATTTTTAAAATATAATTTATACACATTTATATCCAATAAGTATGATGGAGTGAATAAAAATGCAAGAAATATATATATGAATTATGTATATATGTTTATATTTTAAAATTATAAATTATAAATTATAATATATATATATAATAATTATATATATTTTGGATGAAAATGATGTAAAAAATTATATATTATTTTGTTTGAAATTTACATATTTATTTTTATTATTATATATGATTATTTAATTTTACTTTAAATATATAATATTAAAAATTAAAATATATCAATTTATTTATAATCAATTGAACCGCAGGTTATCTATTGAACCATGAACTGATATCTCAATTATTTTAATGATCAGTCCAGTTTTCATAATATTGCCTTAGAAGTTAAGATTGGGTAACGGCTAGTTGAATCTTTTTCCCCTATTTCTTAATTAATATTCATATATTTTTTATTTTTTTAGAAGAATTAACACATTTTTAATTTAATTGTCAATGAATCTTTTAGTAATTAATTTTCTTGTATGAGATTTCAATATAATTTTTCATAATTTATTTTTGGCCAAATTCATATATTTATTATTCGGGCTTTTAATTATACATCTCTTATTTTATGTTAGTGTCAAAAAAATTAAGAGGGAAAATTGGCATAACCCCGGTATGAAATACTGTAATAAAAATTTGTATTTCTTCCCATCAAGAAGGCATTTTCGTAACATAATATATACTTTTCATGGTTTTGATAAAATTATATGGATTTTGTAATAAAAAATAAAATTATATAGATTTATTTATTTAGTATATAAGAAAAAATTTTTAATACAAAATCGATCATATATGTTCATCGAAAAAAAATCGATCATATATGCTCCTACTGGCCCATTTAGTAACGTGATATTTTTTTGATAAAATTTATACTCTTTTTATTAAAAAATATAAAATATTTTTAATTAAATCTCACTTTAATAAAGTAATTACTTATTTTTAAATTGACATTATTTTTTTATATTTATTTCTATTTAATAGAGTTTTTCATCTTAAAATAAATATAAAGCAATTTATTCAATAAGATTACTTAAAAAAATAATTATTATATCTTAAAAGACTAAAAATGTCTTATATTTTTTAGCATTCAATCTCTTAAAAAATATCTTATATTTTTAAATGGAGGGATATATTAATGAAGTCTCGTTAAATACAATTAATAATATTATTTTCTTTCAATAAAAATATGAATTTTTAAAAATACTCTTCATTTAATATAACCTCAAAATTTTTTTTAAAACATTAGAGAGAGAAGATAATTAAGAGGGCTAAATTGTACTTTTGAACTTTTAATTTTATACAAGCTTTTAGTCTAGTCTCTTAATTTCGTAAAATATCTTTTCAATCCTTTAATTTTAATACTCCTAGGCCCTGTTTGGTATAAGGTATTGAATTTTATGGGATTAGGATTGGGATTGGGACTGGAATTAGAAATAAGTTTTAAAATCATGTTTGGTATAAGATGGAATTAAAAAAAGACTCAAGTTTAACCCAAAAAAATAGCTAAAAGATAATGTTGCCCTCATCTTCTCCATCATCGTCCTCTTGCTTGCAAGCTTTATCGGCACCGATGGATGGCAAGGAGTCGCTCAGCCTTTGCCATCTTTGCTCCTATTTGCACCTGTGTCGACATCATTGGTGAAGGGTGGCTCCGTCTTTGTCTCTACTTACTCCTGTTCTATCCTTGTCAAACTATAAATCAGAAACCTAGATCTAAAACCCATGAACGAGAAACTCAGATCTTAAAGGAAAAAGTAAAACAGAGAGTCAGAGGTTAGCACGCACACACCTTGTCTTTCATTTTCTTATTGCTTGAGTTTCCAACAATCCAAAGCAAGAAGAGTGAGAGAGAATAGAAACCCTCACCTCCATCGTTCAATCTCCATCCTCTTCCACCATCCTCAACGTCATTGGCGTGGTGGGGTGAGCACGTCTGCCGCTGCTAAGAGGTTCAGAATGAGATTCCTACCTTTTCTCTGTTTCACGCTGCCAATCATTCGTCCTTGCCAGTTACTGTTAAGCTCATTCTTCCATTACCATCGCTGCTGGAGTCGCTGTCGTCTGTCACTGTAAGGAGTTTCGTTCAGGTCATGAACTCTCTTATCTCTGCGTTGCTATCGATCTGTGCCCTCCCTGTCTTTACATTGCGGCAGTGCTCTTCCGTCGTCTCTGCTCCTGTTCGCACTTGTGTCGACGCCGTTGGTAGACAATGGCTTCGTCTTTATCTTCCCTTGCTCCTGTTCTGTCCCTATCAAGCAATGATAGCCATCCTTGCGTTGTTGAAATCATCTTCAATGGAGCGTGCAAGGTTGAGGGTGATGGAGGAGATCCATGTGCTATGATGGAGGAGTAAGCTGACTAGGTAGGTTTTTGATAAGGGCATTTCAATCATGAAAATTTCAATCTCAAGATTGAAATTGCAGTACCAAGCCGGGGAGGTGGTATTAGGTATTCCCACCTAGATGGGATTGGGTTTGAGAATAAATTTGTAATTATCACCTAACAAACATAAAAGCTTGGTATTACTCAATTCCAAACCCAATCCCACTTAGCTAGTGCTGCGTACCAAATGAGCCCTTAATTCTAAACGATTATTTTGTGCCAATCATTATTCTTTTTTTAAAAAATTAAAGTTAATGTGTTAACATTTAAGAATGTCTAGTCAATATTTAAGAGTTTAATACATGAATTTTTTGTTGATAAAACTAATAGTGTTAAGATTAAAGGATTGAAATGACATTTTATAAAATCAAATATTTAAAATGAAATATTGTGTAAATTAAAAGATTAAATATATAAATTAACTTAATTAAGAGTGAATGATAGTATTGGAATAATAATAATTAATGAAATTTTATTTCTTTCAAAACTTGCATTTTGAAACACCAAAACATCTAAAAATGTCTTACAAAATAAGATGAAGTAGCTTTTATGATTTAGAAATAAGATGCATCATGTTAAAACAGTTAATTTTGCTGATCTCTTGAACGAAATTGTTCTATGCTCATTGTTGAAATTCAAGGTCTCCTATTAGAAAATAAATACTAATCCCTTTATTGGATCACTGGGAATAAAATTGAAAATAAGAGTTAGGTTGGTCAATTAAGTCTATTTTTATAAAAGTTTGGACCTAAAAAATGTTATTTTTTATGAAAATTTAGAACCAAATAGGCTGCTCATTGAAATTCATTTTTATAAAATTTTAAACTTTAAAATGACACTTTTGTTTTAAAAAAGTAGGGATTTTAAAACTTAGCCTAATAGGTGTTGACAAATGGACCCGAATGGCTCGTTTGGACCCATTTTTATTTTATCCCTAAAAAAATATTTTTAATTTCAAAATTAAATTTAAGATTTAAAATAAATGTTTATACTTTAAAATTAAAATTTATAATATTTATTTTTAATTTTTAAATTATTACAATTTGTATTTTTTAAAATGTGAAATTTATAATTGAAAATTTTAATTTTTAAAAATTCAAACAAAAATAAAAATAATAAAAAGAGCTTACGGCATAGCTCTAAGCCTTCTATATAAGGATCAAACTTCAAACAATAATTAATTTTAGAGTAACCAAGTTTATGGGCTTAAGTATCTATGAGCCGAGCTTCTATAGGTTCAATTCACTTGTTTTTCAACTATAAAAAAACTGAATTTTAAAGCCTGATTCTAATGAGCTTTGAAAAATAAGCCTAAGTTTGAATGTCTTGTTTTTGTTTTACTTTTAAAATTAAAATATTTTTAATTTTTAAATTAAATTTAAACTTTAAAGTATATATTTATATTTTAAAATTAAAATTTTTAAGCATGCAAATCCCATTTTTGAAAGTAAGCTAAGAAATCTATGCAACTCCTCTTAGGGTTTGTTTAGTTGGAGAGAAGGGAAGAAAAAAAGAGAAAAAATTTTAAATAAAGAGAAGGGAGCGTCTTGTTTAGATGGGACAAGGCAAGAGGAGGAGCTCCTCTACTCATTTGGTAAGGTTTAGGGAGGAAAAAATTTTTAAAATTTTTTCTTTCCTTCCCTCCAAAACTTCCTTCCAAATTGGAGGGATCCCCTCCTCCCCTCTCTTATGTTGGGGGGTTTTTAGAGGGGAGGAGAGGGGAAATGCTTCCCTCCCTTCATTTGGTTTAGAAATTTTGAAGGAAAAAGGAGTTAAAATAACTTTTTATATTGCTCCCCTTTAAATTGAGATTTTTTTGAAAGGAAGCTAATTTTTTTAACTATTTTGTCCTTATTTAATTTTTAATATTCTAAGTATACTTATAATTAAAAAAACTTTTTTCATATCAGATTGTACTTCACTCTCAAACTTTGATTGATCTCATTAGATTTTTTTTAAAATTACATTTCATCAAATTTGATTATACATTTCGTTATTTATTTTTTTATAAAAAATTGTTATCATTACAATTATTGGTTTAATTTTTTTTTACATATTGACAATATGATAGGATGAGAGTAAATTTTTAAAAATCATGCAATTTAAATTGAGGTGTAAAATTATTTTTCTACAAGAAAAAATTAATTAATATATAGGGATATAATAATTAGTTATTACCTTTCCTCTCATTTCCTCCTAAATAAAAAAAAGGATCATTAAAAACCATTCCCTTCAGATAAAACCAAACAAAATAATATTTAAACTTGTCCCTCTCCTCTTCTTGAACCAAACATGCCTCCCCTCCCCTTAAATCAAACACACCTTTAAAGCTATGTTTGGTGGAAAGGGAGAGGAGGGGGCCCCCAATTTGGGGGGAGAGGAGAGTAAAAATTTTCCTCCCTCTCTTGTCCAACCAAACATGTCT